TTTTAACTTGCTGAATGATCTCTCACAGCTGGCGATGGAAACTGCGATGGTTAGCATTATCTGAATAGCAATGTTAAGATTGGAGAAGACGCTCTTATCTCCATACTGAACAATAAATTCGAGAATATCTTCAGGTCTTGATATTTTCATGTTTGCCCGACTTGATAGCAACATTCTACAATCCAAAATTTCTTCATATAGCTGTTGTCTATCAACATCAGAGCTGTACAATTCACCAAAATTTTCGCACTTCTTCTTTAGGTCGTTACTGTCGACGCCATAACACAGTCCTTCAACATCGAGAAGGAATCCAAACTTGGCGTCAGTGTCGTGCAAACGAGCGAAACTTTCGTCAATTTCTCTGTGAAGACAGTCGAGTGTTCCCTTCATGACTCTTTCCATTTCCTCCTTGGCTGTTAACCCAGCATCTCTCGAGTTCTCATCAGCCATTCGTCTCTGACGTCTTTCAATTTCAATATTCCATTCTTGACAGAGACCGAGTCCTTCTTCGAGTGACTCACTAACCAGCACTTCTCTTTCATCATCAAAATGATTTCGGAGGGCTTTCAAATCCAGGGCAACATTGTGGAAGTTCATGCTAGGATCCTGCAGCCTCTTTTGAATATAGTCAATGCGAATGAGTACTTTATTCCAAAATCCTAGCAAAGTCAGAAAATGGTAACTCAACATGCGATTATACAGCTGCCTTGCGTCACTTCTTGTTTCACTGGTCTCGTTTTCATTGTCTACCATATCCTGGAGAACTTGAAGTATCTCCTCAAGGTACTTGTTGACGGGCTTCACTGCTTCTGTCCTTGCACTCCACCTGGTTTTGGACTGCGACTTAACAACCACAGGCACGGCGTTTGGAGTTTTTCCTAGCGCTGTGTTGAACGAGAGAAGAACCCGTAGAAAGCTTCGATGATTCCAAAAAACGTGGACATCATTGTATCCTGCTTGGCTGCATGTACACCCACCAAATTGAGTGAGTGATTGTCGCAATTCACAAACATTGCCAGTTGTTTTTCTCACTTATTCTTTGATGAACACCACGTCTGTGTCCAGCCATCACAGCAGCGTTGTCATAGCACTGTGACCGATAATCTTGTAGCTATATATATATATATATAGTAGCTCTATTTTGCCCTTCTCCAGCTGTTTCAAGATGTCTTCAACCAAGCTCTCAGCATCCTTCTGTCTTATCTGGATAAAACCAAGGAAAGACTCTCTAACACGGACTATTTTCCTCTCAAAATCAGCTTCCACATACCTCACTACTTCTGCCATTTGCTCACGGTGTGCCTGATCAGGAGTCGAGTCGAACATGAGACCATAGTACTTGGCTTTATGTATGCTTCTCAGTAAACTCTGGTGAAAAGTGGATGCCATCATGTGGATGAATTCGTTCTGGACACCTGGTGAAACATAAGACGTGGATCCAGAATGACTTTCCACACGAGTGAGGTGTTCTTTCATGACAGGGTCAAAGATGGCCAGTAGTTTCAGTAAACCAAGGAAATTCCCACATTGGAGTCATCGTCTAGCTGAAGTGACTCCCTGTGTCCTCACAAAGCCAGGTTCTGAGTCGTAAGGAATTTTATGAAGTGATGGATTCTCGTCAAGATATCACGCCACTTACGCTTTTCCTTCTCAATCTGTGGCTGAAGTTCCGCATCAATAATTCCTCTGTTTTCAGCTAAATTTCTTTCCATTGTGTGAAGCACTCCCGATGATTCTTAGCATTTTCATGAACACTAATCCTTTCATGTGCTTTCCACTGGTTGTTTCCACTTTCCTTCTCCAATGAGGATTGATGGTCTGACCAGTCTCACTATGACCATTTCCCCATTTCCTCTTGAACCAAGTTTTGTTTATTGAGCAGTTATTTGTTGGTAGGAAAGGCCCCTCACCATTCTGGAAATACTTCGAACCCAGATTTATTATTTCTGTTCTCAACGTGTCAGGCAGAATTGCTTTTCCAGTATCCTTGTCGAATTTCAGAAGTCCAATGTCATGCTGTTCAATCACTTCTGGTATGATAGTTCGAGGCTCTTCGACACCATCCAGTTCACTAGGTTCAGTGTCGTCAGATAAAAATCTCGTCAATAAAGTCAACACCACCACCACCATCGTCTTCCCCTCCTGTCATGTCCACGTTCTCTCTGGCAGCCTCACTCTTAATCTCGTTATACTCGGATTTACCTGACTTGACTTTCTCCTCGTCTTGTGACGCATTTGTACTTGATACACCTTCGGATTCTAACAAACTTGTAGCTGGTGCAGGCGACTCTATGGAATGTGTCGAACTACTTGTTCCGGGCTTTTTAAAGAAATGCATGAACAACTTGCTCGACTTCTTGGCTTCCTCTGCCTCCAACTTTCGTCTCTTCTGTCTTTCAGCTCCACTTTCCTTCTTCTTCGTGAAGAAACATTTCATGGTCTTCTTGCACAATGCTCTGAAATAATGAAATGGCACTTTTAATAAGAACATTAAATTTCATAGATTTTGCACAAAATTCTAGATTACCTCTCTAGTTTGTGCAGGAGAATGGTCTTACTGCCAGTTGGCACTGAGCAGTGGTACTATGAAGTATGTGGTCATGTTGCTTCCAGCACTGTAGTTTTACCTAATAATTTATATAAGTGGTTTAACAATCCAGCCATCCTAATGCTTCTCACCCATGATAATCAAAGACAGATCATACATCTGAAGAAAATTCTTTTTTCACTATTCGAGGATGGCTTGTCTGACTTTAATAGAAACTGCTCAGTGGCACCCTCTTCAAGTGGCGACCAGGGTACGTGCCATACCTGCCATACCTTAGGTACTCCACTGGAGAGCAGGAGAAATAACAACTTGCCAAGTCTACACTTATTTAAGTTTTATTTGTTTTTCCATGAAGAGTCACGTGTATGCCAAAACCGTTTCTGTATATGAGGTTGAATAGCCTTTCGGATCTATGTTTTGTCTCCCATAAATCACCGCCAAAGATGCATTTTGTTCAATACCAGAACTCGTCAGTTGGGCTGGGAAAGGAAAGACAAGATTCTCTAAAATGCTGTTTATATATGCAGTGTAGAAATGAATAAAAACCGTATAAACCGAGCGCTTTCGAAAGGTAGACCTTTCTTCTTCAGTTTGCCCCTAAAGAAGAAAGGACCACCTTTCAAAAGCGCTTGGGTTATAGGGTTTTTATTCACTTCTATCAAGACCTCTTGAAGCTACTTGTTTTTCTAACATCATGTATATATATGCAGCGTAATACTATTTTCAGCTATATTTATAATCTTGCAATTTGTTTAGATGTTAGCAAGAAGGCGCATGACGTTAAGAGCAAGAAAGCCCTAGAAATATCTAGAACAAATGTAGAATATAAATAAAACTTTACGTGAAGTATCCAGGGGTTAATTAGAGAGTGAGTTGAAATATAGTCAAAGAGATAGTAGGGGGGAGTTATTTCAAGACAGGGAGTGAATCTGTCAGTGTTAGCAATCGCGATTACTTTGTACAAGTAAAAAGATTTGACTTACGTTAGATAACATCATTTGTAACGTCGGCTTACAGCAATTTATGGCATTGTACAAGTGTTCAACTTTGTAGAAACGTTAAAGTAGGAAATAATTTATTATCGTAATATTGATTGGACGTTGAATTATTTTCACCAGATACTGCTACAGAACCAGCCAACGAAAGAACTACACTACTACAATATTTAAAAGATATAGTTTAGATACTGATAGCTGTGAAGTCTTAGAAATCAGTATGTACATTACTGCAGATTTCTGAACTGGTGTTTTGCGTGCGGCAGAAAGTACTATCTCTCTCTGTTTTACTGTGGTTTGAAAGACAAGCTCATGTGTACGTCC